GAGTAGGTTGGCAGCCTGGGTAGAGGCAGGATTTGGGCTTCGATCTGCATCCGTATGTTTGATTGTGAAGCATGCTTGGTTTATTTGCTTGTCAGCTTGAGCAGTGTTAGACACAACCGTAAGTAAGAGCTTGAGGTTAGTTCTGTGGTAAGAACAAGCTGTAAAGCCTTAAGTTCTAGGCATAAGGAGCCTAAACTTTTAGGTTTTAATTCAAGCTTCCCTGGGCATGCAGCAGACTTCACAGAAATAGCTAACAGCTCCATTAAAAGACTCGAGTGCACAAATAGTTGGGGATGAGGCAGTCTAAGCCATACTAGCCAAAGTGCTTCTCCTAGGAGCATGAAGGTTTAAGAGGCTCCTTTCCTGCAATTAACAAGAAGTGCATCAAGAATTTAGGCTGGATATTTAGTGGCTTTGATTGTAAAAGATTTGCCAGGGCTGTGTTTGAAGCTGAAGCGGGCTGCTGAGGCAGCTCAGGAAGTGTGGTGTCAGCAGGACGCCTGAAAATTTGCCTTTCTTCTGGAAATGCCATCTTGCTAACCTAAGACATAGGAGCCTGCAGAATCCACATCATTAATAACCTTCCTTGTCAGCAGATGACTAGATAAAATTACAGCTTTGGAGTAAATGTTGTGTTCTTGCTTACAAGCAAGTTGTGACGCCTGTGTGAGGCCAAGCAGTGTGTGGGCTCTTGTGCCTTGAAGGTGTGGCTTCCGAAGGAGCCAGCTTCCATGCTGGTCCTGACACAGGGACTCAGTCACTTCAAACATGTTTCCTGATCTACTGCTAGGTCAAACTGCATTTGTCACTGCTGTAGCTGCACGTACCTATAAAAATAGAAGGGCATAATTTGATAGAAATGGTGGATGTGGGAGTGAAGGGAGCAAAATGTCCTTGGAATTGCAAGAATCTTTTGAGAAGCTAGTTGGTTTTGGCAGGCTAGAAACTGGTTGTGACAAATTGTGGAGGTCACACATCATGTTCCCCATTTCATGACCTTTTTATGCCCAAGAAAAATAGGATCTTCAGCGTGGTATTTCTGAGGGTTTCTCTGTCGCCTTTCGCATCTGCATTTATGTGATGTTTCAGAACCGAGAGAGGATTCAAAGAACTAACTGGGAAAGAAAGGCAGGTGCTGCACACAAGCTCGGAGCATTTCAGAGTCTTTACAGAAAAAGCACACAGATACAGCTAATTCCATTATGGAATGTAGGTGAAAATTAAGTGTCACACTTGATCAAGACATCTCTTTAAAGTTAACTTTTTCACTGAATGCACAAAGAGTTGAGGAAATAGACCTGGAACAAGAATACTTTTAAATATGTCACATGTAACAGATTTACATAATAGGAGGGGAATTATTTTGAAGTTTTTTAAGATGCCTTCAGCTCAGAGGTGGGAATCATACTTAGGA